AGCTCTTCTTTGGTCTAATACGGGTGGAGGTTTTGGACTAGCACTCATTCTATCGCCGCTTATCTGTACATTCAGAAATATAATTAATTAACCCTATTATTGGTGCTGTATACAATTTGATACGTTGTTCTTTTCAAAAATCTAGACACAAACTGAGAAATATTTTGAAAAATTTTATTAGTTTAGTAGAAACAAAATATAATTAAATTTCTACCAAAAATGTTGTTTTACTATTAGTATCACTGAGAAAGCATTACAACCCAAGATAGTGAACCGAACCAATGTGTCTACTCATCGCAAGGTAAGAAAATTCATTTTAAATCATATTAAACGATAATTAGAAACGAAAGTGATATTATTTGAATAGCTTAGAATTTTTTACTAGTCGGTATTCTGTTTTGGTTCTGCAAAACTGATTGTAACTGTATTTTTTTCACTAGTGTTTTTGAGTGTATCAGATCTGATTCATTGCCAGATAACAAATATTATAGATATTTTTGACTATGTATCTAAAATGTTACATTGCCAGAAGAGTTTACAGATACATTAATTAAGTTACTATGTATATTTAATCATTACAGATGGTTGGTCACCTAATTATGCAGCAACAAAATAGAGTTCAACAATTTGTGGCTCTTGTACCGAAGCCGGGAGCAAAATCTGATTTGAACGAAAGTGTTTTGGTTGAAAGGGAGATGAAGTCGAGTATTACGAAGGCCCAGCGCATTCCGACAGTAGTTCAGCACCGCTCTCATTATCATCTTCGATGGAAAACATCCATCTATTATCAGACGACGATACTGAGGTTAATCATGTTGCTGCTTCAACATCTTTGGTGTTATACCAAAAACCATCGCCGATAACCAACCCTTGTTCGCCACTAATTTTATCGCCAAATATATCTGAAATGAGACACCTGCATTCGTTGGAGACCAAACCATTGTTTCCAGTTCCGACCACATCGAATCAAGTAAGGTTACCATCTCCACTGGCATCGTCGTCCCCACAAGTTTCTGCACCACTCATCAATTACTTGATACGCCGTAACCATGCAGCTGTTATCTCCATTATAAGCAGCTACCCGCTCAAGTAGACCTAGAGTTGTCACGGTACGGCGAAGAGTAATACCAACGAAAGGGTTAGCACCACATTGGCGTTACTGTACATTTACTGGTTCCGCAAAAGTAGAAGATATTTCGTTTGAGCCTAATGAAGAAAAGAGTGCCATGGAATACTTCAAGCTGTTCTTCTCAGACGACATCGTCTCTCATACAGTGAAACAAAACAAAATATCTATAGCACACAGATAAATGGTACATCTACAAATAGTACAGAAGTTGGTGTCAAAGACTTTTAGGCAATCCTTTTGAATTGACGACTCCCATAGTCGTTAAAATGTGTAACGATATAATATAGTAGCTGATATTATGACATTAAAGAAATTCTAACTACTCAGACGTTACTCCATTTCAATGAATGATAACCTCAAAGACGATGGTGACGATATTATAAAGTGAGGCCAGTTCTTCAACTGGTACTCCTAAGAACTCCTCTTAAGACTGATATGTATAAGTACGTATTAAGTAGTTGTATACAAAATTGATCTCATTTTATTCATAAATTATACACATTAATTAGGTAAGACTTAAAGGCTGATTGTGACTGATAATTATGTTGATTTTTAGAAGGTTTTTTTTTGTATTTGTTGATTAAGAAAACACAATTTATATTATTTTTAGTTTTCCTATTCTAAGCAATGTGTCAAATATGATACATAGTTTTTCTTCAATTGATTATTATGAACCTGGCAATGTGCCTAATGTGATACATATAATAAAACGTAAATTAAATAATTACAATTTTTTTTATTATTTTTCGCCTTTCCAGTGAACACCTAGGAACACAAACCAGGCATTATTTTTCAAAAATACTGAAAATAAAATGCCTGCCAAGTATAGGGTTAATAATATAATAAGGTAGGCAAGAACAATGTTGACTAATAATGTCAATTATATGTACCTTATGTTTACGCGGCGGTGGCACTGGAGGCCCTGCCTTCGGTGGTAGCGGTGGCCTTTCCTCGCGTAACTGTGTTACCGATAAAGCCTGCGACATAAAATTTAAATATTTATGAAATTGTTTAGTAACAACTGTAGAGTCAATTCGTCCTATATCAGAAGTTGCTGCTAACCTGTCGCTGATGATGTCTCCTTTTGGGGTGTCGGTGGTACATGTCATCACAGGAGGCACACAGTGCGCGGCGTCCACATTCAGTGCAGCGCACGCGCGCTCCACCTCCTCCACAAAGACCGCACGATGCGCCTGCGTCGACCGGGTGACCTACAAATGCCAATATATCCAGGATTTGAGAACACAACGCAATGTTTAACCAGTTGTCGCTGTTTTTCTTGAATTATCTTCGATGTTCGCGTATGCTTATCTATGGAATTTGTTTCAAGGGATAAGTTTGTTGACTTATCATCACTATATAGTATAATATGCATTGCATAGCAGTTGACGTAAATTTCCATCGTAAAGGATTTTTATATAATAAAGCACTTTGTCTACTCGCAGATGCTGCAAATTTGTTTTATTTTAAAATGTATAATCAAAATTATTTGATGTTAAATAATGTTTTTTTAAAAACATTTAAATAATTTTATTTTTTATATTTAAATAGTTAAATAATGTATTTTATCCCAGTCATTTTTTTATCTATCCCTGTTCCCCACTTTAGGATTTTCTTCTGTGTCGTTTACATACATACAATTTCTATATACAAGATTTAATTTCGATATAGATCACACAAATAGTTGTTCTGTGCGGGAATTGAACCAGCAATGCGTTGAGCGGCAGATGGTTGCTTACAGCCACCGCGCTTACCGCCCAGTTAAAAAATTCTAACGTATGTAGAAATAATCTCTATGTATGCCTAGATCTTTAAAACTTCGCACCGTTTTTTGGTGTGCTTTTTTTAATAAATAGAGTGATTCAAGGGGGAGGTTCATAGGTAATACTAAATTTTTAATAGAGAAAACTAATAACTGCGTGTAGCCGACGTCAGTCGCTAGTTCGTCTAATCATAAATTACATTGTTTATTAATTAACGAAAGAAATAAAATTAAAGTGCTTCCCGGGACGAAATAAAATCGTTGTGGATTTGCATAGAGTGCTAAATGCATTAAATCATGGATATATCCATGCATGCATTAAATCATGGATATTTGATATTTGTAAAGAAATATTTCATAGACTGATTGATTAATGCAAATTATGTAATGTAACTAATGTCATCAAAGCCATATTTCTATAGATCTGCGTGCGTACATTATTGTGTTTTTTTATCTAAAATGTTTTGTTTATTATATTAATTAACATCAGATTATGTTGATATCTTAAGTGAAATATATATACATATTTTAGCGCAACTTTAAATGAATTGAACTGCTATCGTAGAGGATTTTTGAGACGTTTATCGCTATACGTTGTACGATGACCTCTCCTTATAGTTAATTAATTTGGATTTATACGAACCTGTGGGCGGTCGTGGCGGTGGCGGTGGCGGCGGCTGTATTTTCGCATTGACGTATTGGTCGCTTGGAAATTCCACAACCTCGTAATCAGGTTCAGGTCTAGTCTGTGGTACCCGATGCATCGATGTTGGTGTAGTCGGGGGCATCGCCCCATGTGCTAATGCGGGTGGACGCATTATTTTCGCGAGGTGCGCCGGCGGTGACGACGTCACGTTGCGCGGGTCCCGACCGCGACCCTTCAGCATTTCTGTATGTGCATAATACGGGGGCTGGATACATTAAGTATAATAAGGGAGTACGACTGAATGTTATTGTATATACAATAACAGTCTATCTGGGATCTTCGTTGAGACTGTAACAGACACTAATATAAGATTTGTTTGTTCAGGCTATAAGCTTTATAAATGTTCTCAGCAGTAGTGCAACATACCTATCCCCTTATATAAACTTTCTTGGCTAGTTACACCGTATGTTTATTCCAGATTGTCTGAATGAAGTCTTGAATATCGTTTTAATTAACTGCAGATTTGGTTCTCTGTTTAAGATGCTATTATATAGATATTATTAACATTTGCAAACGGCAGCTGTGACCGGGATAGAGCGGGCGTTGCCGCGTCGTTGACGCCTTGCCGACCTATATTCCGCCACTCATATCCCAAAATATCGAAAGTGTGTTCACTCTATGTAAATAACAATTAGTAAGTGTATATTCGCGAGCGCTATCTGCTTATGCTCTACCTCTGCAACACCTATTCGATGTTATAACATCCGCGTTTAAATAACTTTTAGATCTTACCTCACCGGGTAACACTTTAATGTAATAATGAAACTGATTTCGATGTCATATCACTTAAACGAATTGTTCACTGTATTTTTGCTCCAGAGGCCATTTTACATAAGTATGCAACTGCGCACAGTTCGTAATCACTGCACTCGCGGCGCCAGGCCCCGACGGCGGCAGCTCGCTGCACGGCTCCGTGCTACACTTTCCTCGCAGCTCGAGTGGCCGGCGGCTGCTAATCGTGCTCCCTATGCGGACGAAATTGACAGCGGGAAGACGCGTGTGCCGCCGCCTCTATTTCTGTCCGCGGCCGCGTTGCCCCGATTCTACTAAAATTACGACGCGCTGCTATTTCCGCACTCATCCCAATGCCCCCTCTAGCCGGAGTCAAATACCTTGCGAAATTGTTTCTCAATATTTATCACGCCGATAAAACACAGTTTTGTGGATGTCATCAAATAGCTCATTGAAATCATGTTTGATATAGTTGTATGGAGTCCCTTTGATTATAAGATTGTTGCTGGGTCCCTGTACATTTTATCACGGGCTCTGACTCTGGACTGGTTTAGTTGGAAACTCATTGCTTTTAATGTTCGAACTTATTTTAAAACAAATTAATCTGTTTCTATGTAAACAATGATGTGTCATTTTGATCGGATTTCATTGTGAAGTTTGTATATTGCAATATGGAAATATTGCATAAGTTCAAAGAAAATGGGTATTTTACTTCGGAGCTATACCACTTACTTGCTAAAAAGAAGTTGGTCGATGGTTCGACGGAGGTAATATTAGTCTGTTATGGTTATGATATAAGAAACTACTTACAACACAGTTAACATTCAAATCTTCAGAGTAATTACTAGACTAGAATGCTCTACTTACTTGTTAACACAAGCATCAATCTTATTTAGAACACTAGCTTCTACCAGCGGTTTTGCCCGCGTTCCCGTGGGAAAAAAAGTATCCAATGTGTTATTCCAGACTGTATCTAGATTTCACAATCTGCCCCTGTTCCAAATTTCATCCCGATCCCTCCAGCCCTTTTGACATGAAAGAGTAACAAACAAAGACACATACATCCTCACAAATTTCGCATTTACAATATTAGTAGGATTTACGAGTTTAATTGTTACTTTCTTGGACAGATTATACCTTCAGAATATGAGAAGGAAATGAAAATGTCCACTCATCAGCGACTGCAGACTTTACATAATATAGACATAGAGAACCTGATCACCCCACCCGGCAGGAAACGCAACAAGGTCGTGTTATCTTTTACACCCAAACTGCTCGTGTTCCAAAACTTCAAGCCGAACGATAAAATTGTCGCAAAATTTTCTGTTAAAAATATAAGCAAGGTTAAAAATTTTGTTATTCTTGTGCTATTTCATATTGGTTAACTTTTGTCTGATGAAGTATTGCATTCGACAGGGACCGACTTACGTTAACTTGGTTTACAAAGAGTCCTCGTATTTCTTTATCAAGCCTTGTGGTGGACAGTTACTGTCGAGGTTAGCGCCAGGAATCAGTGTGACTTTTGCGATAACCTTCCTCCCCGTGCAACACGAGGACTACACACATCGAGTAACTATTAATACTGATGTGGATCAATATGTCTTACCGCTCATCGGTAAAATTAATACCATTTTTTAAGAATTGTATACTTTTATTACTTAAAATACAATAAGCAAATATTTAATTACTTATTCCTTTCAAGCATTGGGCCCTAGACCAATTTTTGATTTCCCTGATAAAATTGATATTCCGAAGACTCCCTTGAAGGTGGAGAACCATGTGTTGATAAGTGTCCATAACATTGGCATGGTGCCTGCTGGCTTTACTCTCAATTGCAAATGGTATGTAGTACAATATTAAATACAATTATAATATTACACTGTGAAATTATTATAAATGATAATGTACTTTGAAAACTAGTACGTTTAATAATTATTTTCAGCCCATTCTCTGTGCATCCAAAGTCCGCTTATTTAAATAAGAATCAAAAGATTGATATCGCTGTATCATTTAAAACAATGCACTTAGGCGAAGCCCATGGAATATTAAATGCACTTTTTGAAACTGGTAATGTGATCGATTTCTGATACCTAGATTGATACTTTACCTAGACTGAGAGTACTGATACTACCTTATGATGATCACCTGATGCTTAGATTGAACGATGTATACTTAGTAAATTAGTGCTTTTTATTTAGATACGATTTACGAAGGCTGCCGCCGAAGGTCGTAATAAAACCCAAATTAATAGAAAAAAGGTTTATTCACAGTAAAAACTTTTTGTACACGAAAAGTTTCTTTCATGGCGGCTTTTGCCTCGTACCTCGAATTTGCGCATTTAACTTATTTATTAGAAACTAGCTTTTACCAGTGGCTTTATCTGCGTTTTCCTGTTTTATACCATGAGAGCTATCATCGGGATAAAATAAAAATCCAATCGGGATAAAAACCTAAATCAGCCCATAGCCCCGACCAAATTTCAGGAAAATCCGTTCAGTAGTTTCAGCGTGATTTACGGACAAACATCCAAACACAAGAAACTTTCACATTTATAATATTAGTAATTATTGAAGGCATGCTTCGTCAGCGGTGTACCTAAACTGCACTGGCGTCATAAACGTCATTTCCCTTGTGTTTATTATCAGGAGAAAACTTCCGTATATTGTTGTCGGGGACAACTCATACAGTGAGCGTTGAATTGGAGAAGCAAGTAGTACGATTCTTTGACACTTACAACACTATGATGCGGCAGCAGACATACAAGGTCATCAACAAATCCGATCATGTGCTCACATACATGTGCATGAAGAACGATTGTGTATATTATGGTACGTACTATTTACAAATTTTAAACTAAACGTTTACTAACTTCCAGTCAGGACAATGTGTCTTATTTTTGCCTTTGACCCTGCATAATTCATCAACCTTCTCTTTGATCAAATAGTTAGATTAGTTTAGATCAAATATGAATTTTAAAATAAGTTATAATTTATTCCCAGATTTCGAAGAAAAAGTAAAGTTAGCGACAATATTTTACAATATGAAAGAAAGTGAATCTGCGAAGTACAGGAAGTTGGTACAATACGACGTGCTGAGTAGTAACGAGCATGAAAGAGTATACACTCGGATATTTTTTGATGAAATCCAGGCGCTAGTGGCTGATGAATCACTGTATTTCCAAAATATGCACTTTTCCATACACCCGATAGTGAGTAAATACTTTATTACGATAGCACTTTGTCAGATGTATCGTAGGCGTATAGTTCAGACGATCTAATACTGTATGGTGGACATCTTATACACGCTATATTTCTTATGAAAAGGGGGTGGTTATTACTGGTGTTTATTATAGAACATCTATTGATTCGCAGAAAGGGAAGTTATGGCCCAATAAAACAACAGAATTAACTATAACATTTTGTCCGAAAGAAATCGGAGAGTTTCAAACAACTGCCTACTTAGATATAGATGGCTTCGTGGACCGCGTGCCGCTGAATTTAATCGGCCTATCGATGCCTCCCTCCATACATCTCAATGTGGAAACACTGGATATGGACTGCGTCTACATTAACAAGTCTTATAACTATGAAATTGTTGCCATTAATAAAGGTACAAATTTCAAAACTAAAAATAGAAACTTTATAAATAAAATTGAATCACAATCTTGGCTAGCACATATTTAAAGAAACCGATCCTTCTCCAATTTGCAGTGATGCACTAATTAAACAAATTAGTTTTATTTCAAATTTATATGGAACTCCGAGGAATGTTCTTAAAAAGATTATTAAAATCCTAAGGATTGTCTACCGTGTACGGTAATTTATAAAATGATCTTAGCGTTGTTTTATTTTAGGACACATAAATGGAGTCATACTGTATAAAGAAATACCATCACTGTTTGGAAGCACTATATCATGTACTCCTGAATTGCACTGCTTGCGACCTGGGGACAAAGAAATCTTCGTAATCTCATTTTGTAACTCCAGCCAGGGACCATTCTTTGAAGAAATCAATTTCGCCATCCGCGACACAAATGTAGTTCTGAAACTGTATTTGAAGTAAGCGCACAACAACTATTCGTAGTAGTATTGCATCAACATACATATATAAATATTTCTTTACATTTTCAGAGGCGAAGTAATATATCCATCACTTACTTTTAGTATCCCATGCCTTGATTTTGGTGAAGTCAGCGTAGGTAAGACTGAATTGATCTAATAGATAGACATAATAAATAGAAATGTTTAGTATTCGTGGAAATGTTACGGTTTCATATGTACGTAAATCGTAGTGAGGTCTACAATTTACGTAGAGTTACGTAGTATGTTCGTTCGTAGTATGTACGTATCTTCGTTCCTAGCACATCCTACGCAGATCACTACGGACGCGACGTCCTAGAGTGTACCATTAAGTGGTACGGGCGTAGCAAGGACTACCATTTAGTGCTACGAGCGTAGCAAGGATTAACACATAGTGCTACGGGCGTAGCAACTACTACCATTTAGCGCTACGGGCGTAGCAACAACTACCATTACTGTTACGAGCGTAGCAATTAAGGACTAACATTTAGTGGTACGGGCGTTGCAAGGATTACCATTTAGTGCTAGTACGGGTGAAGTAAGAATGATATTATTAAGTGCTATGAGCTTACTCAGGATGTACTATTTACGCTCTACGGGCGTACTAAGGACTACTATGAAGTGCTGCAAGTTAATTAATTTACGTAGTTATAGCAACCATACACATACAATCAGAGCCTGCAATAGCCTATGTGACATCAAAACTTGTGTAAAAAATACTATATGAAGAATGAAATAGAGCCACGATATAAAAACTTGACTATTAGCGAAAATAAAAAAGTATGTTAAATATTTACTCTCATAAACAGGTGTTCCTAAAACTATGCAGTTAGATGTTATTAATGAGTCGGTGGTGGATATTAACGGGACTTTGAAGATTTCGTCAGATGGTCCGGAGATCAGTAGCATAACACTAATTGATTTCGCAGTAGCGGATTATCCTAAGCCAGTGCTCCCGCAGTGGCCCAGGGAGTTCCATATTGCACCAAGTAAAGTTGACATAGAATCCGAGTCGAGGATATCAATACGAGTAAGAATATTACTCTATCTCTCTTTGTTGATGGGTTAAGCAAAATTGTATACATAATATGTGAGGCATTGAGTTTTCGACCGCTATTGTATTCATGGTCTATGGTATTCATGTTTTAGTCACATAATAGAAACCGAGACAATAATTATGGTCATTCAAGAAATTCGACTAAATAAATATTAGTCGACCAATGACGATTTATCATCCCATTGTATTAACATAGGTTACACTGACGGCTAACTTGATAAGAGCTAACCAGACATCACTAGAGTTGGAGCTAGAGAAGTCGGACAGTCCTCCAATAGTGCTCCCAGTGATGTTCAATGCTATGGTACCTGAGATAACGCCTGCGCCTGAGATCAACCTGCGAGCCTGTTTCCTCAACTACTCCTACCATAATGAAATTGTTATCAATTCTAATAATTTCCGAGGCTATTTCACATTGGAAAAATCAGAGGTATCATCTCACATACCTACGTACATTACGTGTATTGTTTTTTAGAGCGATAGGCAAAAGGTTGTATTCTTATATTTATCGTGTTACTATTGCCAAATAGGATAGAATTTTCGATACTTTGTTGTAACCAGAAACCTGTACCTAATTGCCATTGCTCTTGAAACTTTTGAGCCTATTTGCATTCATTGGTCTGTACAAACTTCATATGTGTATTTGGTTTAGATGTGAATTCAGATAAACTTATTATTGTTATATATTGACGCCCGAACACTGAAAGGCATTTTTAAGTCGCGCTTAGGTATTATATCTGGTCACTACAAATTCTTTTTAAATGGCTTTAGTTTCTTTTTTATTATGAGCGTGAGAGACTCTGAACTTATGAATATATCACTAATGCGTATATAACTTTAGGATACAACATTGGAACTATATTTTCAAACGAAAGAAGGTTTTATTGAACCGAACAGTACTTTGACGTTACCAATCAGTATTAGAACAAGTGCACTTGGTGTACAAGAAAACGGAGTTATGTAAGTACTTAGACAGAATTTTTCAATTCATGGAAAGCAATCAACTCATAATGATCTTGATTTTGTATGATACCTTTAAGTTGCCCAAGTAATTGCCTTATTGGCTGCCGCCGCTAACTGCCTTATTGGCCGAGTGGTCGCAAGTCGCAAGTGCGACTGCCGGGTGAGGGGTCTCTGGTTCGATTCCCGAGTCGGGCAAAGTATTACTGGGTATTTACAAAATCACAGTAGTGGCACGGAGTCTGAAACTGTGCCCAGTATATGGCAATAGGCTCACCCCCTATTACGTGGGACTCATAACATAAATAGTGAATAGTGGGTGTTACATTGTACAGTGGCATTAAGTGCCGTAATGTCCACTCTTGCCTACATTTTCGGGGATAAAAGGCGTGATGTTATGTTATGTTATTCTATGTGTAGGATAGAAAGCAACTTATACTTTCATTACCTATTGACATAGTGAAAACTATATTAAGAACAATACACAACGTTAATGGATTTTTATATGAATGGTTAGCAATCGCCGTCACCCAGGGACACTCGTAACTAGATTGTTAGATTTATAGATGGATGGAGAGATTATTAGATTTATAGATAATACCCATCTTCTGATTTGACAGAAAATGTTTTCTTGATCAACAGGATGAACTTATTTGGACAGTCTAAACCAATTGAGATCTGCCACATCACTGGCTGTGGAGTTCGACCTATTGTGACCTGCTCCCCTTTGGCATTGCATTGGGGACAAATCAAATTATTAACAACATCACAAAAATGTTTAACCCTATGTAATGATTCCCCAGTCTTCGTCAATTTCACTGCAACACTGGTAGGTACTTTACCTAATTATGCAGTTTATTAATTATATAGGTAAACATATAAAGTAACCTGCTTTTAAATATAGAGATTAGCATTATGTCTTTGGTTGTATTATTAAATTATATATGGGATTTTATACGAAAGTGAATGTATTGTTTCTATGTCAATTGTCATCTCTGGCTGATGATGTAACCAAAGTAAGAACTTCACGCAGTAAGTAAGGACACATTAAAAACAGCCAAATAAAAACTAGTTTTTTTCTTACATTACAGTTGAATAAAGATGGAAAATGGCAAATATCGCCGACGGAAGGTTCGGTCGAGCCCGAGTCAGAAGTAGATTTATTGTTAACATTATACTTGATTGATGCTGATTCTTATACTAACAAAGCGGTGATACATTTAGACAAAGTAAAGGACATCGTAAGTGACTTTAAATAGATCGTGTTATTTAAATCTACAAACAAAACAATCAACAAGAAGGAGGTGGTCGTAATAAAATTAGATGATGAGTTAATAGCTTACAGCACGCGTGGTATGAATGCACACTCGTACTCTGTATTATAAACATAGGTACAGATTCGTTGAGAGCATAGATTGCCGAGTTCGCCAAACTAGCTATGAACATCGCTATTGGATTATCGAATTTAGAACTAAATAATTCACGTTTCTTATATCTCTACGTCCACATTTAACTTTTTTGTTATTGTAACGCGAATTTCTCTTGTGTTGTGGCTGCAATCACAAACACAAATACATACATCACACCCAGACCCGGAACAATTAGCGCTCGTATTACGAATTCGAATCTTTTACTTTTTTTAATATGATGTATAACTGTGTTCCTAAGCACTTCTCTCAATCTGGTAATCGATCTCAAACTAAGGTTGAGTATAAGTACTCAACCGGCAATTAATTTGATTATATTTAATTTTACAATCTAGCTGGTACCATTATCTGCTACCGGAGTAGGGACGAGCATCGTTGTGGGTAAGCACCGCGACAGAATTGAGCTTGGAAGGCATTTCACGAAAATACCACTGGATTGTAAAATTATAATGGAAAATTGTGGAACCCGGTTACACGCACTAGAGTGGAGCGAACATTATAAACCGCCCAAGAATAAACAAGTTGCAGCGTATGTATCCATAATGAAATAGATATACATAATTATGTATGTTTGAAATGAAAAACAAAAAACATCTTTATTTTTCTCAAATTCCAGAGGCTTTTTCAACTTGGATCCACGATCATTCAAAATGTCAGCTGGAGAAAAATTTGAGTTGACTGTAACAGGAATATCCCATAAAGTAACGAAAGTTAAGGAATTGTGGTATTTGGTCGGTAGCGTGGAGAGTATAAATAAAAAAGAATTGTTAATGGAGTGTGAGGTTCTGGCTGAATTCGTTGATCCGAAAATAGAGATTTCCTCTCCAGTTGTCGAATTCCAATATGACTTCGGGCCGTATAGTGAATTCTATAAGCTAACTGGTAAGAAATAATACCTTCGACAAAATTAAGACTACTTTAAATTATTACCCTAGTTCCACCGTTTTAGTGTTGCTAATAATATAAAAATATGGAGACATGGATGGATATGCCAGAATTATTGGTATTATTTTATTAATTTTTTTTCCAGATATAATCACTATAAAAAATATATCCAAACTTCCACTAGACATTGACATCTCTGTGAAACCTCCATTTGCTATCGTTCAAAAGCAAAGTACATACAAAATACCGTCTGACGAAGCGAGCTTATGTTGTTGTATACGGTACAGGAAGTCTGATTTGAATCTACAAACTATATTGGACAAAATGGGTCCACGTGAATCAAAGACCTTTATAGACTTTCTTACAGCAAAGCCTGTGGAACCACTGCGGAAAGGTCCACTTCATTTTTTCCAGGACATTCATAAGATTAAAATGGCGTTCAATCTAACCAGCACAGTAGAAGAACGTTTAGAAGATCAAGAAATTATGAAACTACAAATATTATTCGACACTACTAAACATGTCAGTCTTAAGTCAAGGGTATATTGCGACTTAATGAAAATTAGATTCAGAGGACACAAAAACAAAGTAATTGAAATTATCAACAGTCAGTTGTGTGACATTTTGGGCTTATACGTAATTTTTTTGTTCGTTTTTAGGATGCTATTAAACTGGTTGGTAAAATAAACTTTCCAAATTTATTTATTCTTCCTCCGAGATTAGACTTCCAATGTATTTTGAATGGAAGCATACAAAGTAAAACAATAAAAATACAAAATACAACACCTCTCATGGTTTGCTACCAGTTTCAATGGAAGAAGTGTTTGATAACAAATATCGCTCCAGTGAGTACTAAATTAACAATGTCGAGTAGTAGATTTATCTTACTAATATTATGAATGCGAAAGTTTGTGCTATATATCATCACAAAATTTCGTGTGTGTGTTTGTTATTCTTTCGTGTCAAAACGGCTGAAGGGATCGAGATAAAATGATAAAACAGGCGTAGATTATGGTCTAGAATTACACGTGGGCCACTTTTCATCAAAACACGGGCGAAGCCCTTGGTAGGAGCTAGTGGTGTTAATTTAAGAAAAGCCCAGCCACATTGTAACAAAGAGTTCTGATTCAAAAGTTCATTATTGCTTGCCTTCCTTCATTATTGCTTGCTCCACTTGAAAATGATGTTTTTGGTTATTTGTTTAATTTAAACTTTAATTTCGTATCTACTAGAATTTGTTGTAATAAAGCATATTTGGTTCAAGAGCACAATATAGAGTTTTGATATAATTATTAATACTATTGATCATACAGCCTCCAGTACCGATGGAATGTGCAGTATGTACTAGTCCGACTAAAATTATTTCTGAAGAGACGGGGACCACCGGTACGTTTTTTTACTTATAACAAAAGTTAAGGAAATTATAGTTTAATTTATTGACTCACACTTGTTGCAGAGACTTGCATACGAGATGCCTTCAATATTCAAATTTCAAATGGTTCAGAAGCGGAGAAAGAATCAGCAAACGAGGAAATTCCACCGGGTGAAATTGAAACCGCTGCTACTTATGGCGAATCTGAAATTGATACCGAGTACTTGAGAACTCGAATAATTAGAAAACTAGCTCCCATGATAGACGGTGACTATGACACACAGTTTGAATGGATACACAAGTTTCCTAGATTACAAAAGCTTACCAATAAAATCAACATCAACGATGTATTTCAATTGGTGTCGCATCGAGGACTGCTTAATCCCAACGAGATTCAATTCGTACACGTGATATTTAGGCCAAAACCTAATATCGGTGTACGAGCCGTTCTGGAATGTGAAGTTCTGGGTGGACCTCCTGAGACCATCGTTGTTACTGGTCAAAGTTCTGATTTAATGTATGAAATAAGTTCTGAAACTGTTAATTTTAAAATAAGGTCTTTTCATGAAAATGCCGTTGAAGGGTTGAAAATACGTAATATTGCAAACTTACCGTTCGAATGTAAAACCTATCTATTTGAGAAGAAATCGGCAAGTGATCTAGAAGCAAATATTCTTGAAATAATACCGCACGAGAAAGTATTAGGGCCTAAAGAAGAAATTGAATTGAACGTAGTAGTTCGACCTGGCGTGGTTGGTTACTTCCGCAGAGAATTTTTGCTAGAAATTGGACACCTCCCGCTTATGCCGATCGAAGTAGTTGGATGGGGTGATGTGCCTCAAGTCTTTATATCATTGCAACGATCTTATACAGCTGAAAGTGTAAGCATTAATCCTAAATGAAATTAAGTTTTCTAATATTTTCATGTCCCAATAAATGAAAATATTGGAAAAACTTAAAGATTAATATTAAATATGTATCAGATTAAAATAAATCCATGTTTTCATATCTTTTATGTTTCACATCGAGTATATAATGAGCAATACATATGTACTGTTTTAATTTGGCTATGATAGTACCGTCAGTATGCCAAAAGTCCCTTTTAAAATATGATTAATTTATTAAAACATTCTAACTTTATTATAGTCTTCTCCTCTCTATGTATCAATGTGTATTTCCTCGCTTTAACTACCGTATTTTAAACATATAGCTAGTTGCTGACGTCATCATTATATCAATCACAAAACACTTAATGCTGAATATAGCCTGTATCTGTAATGATCAGATTAGTTTAGAATATTGTATTCTTATTATAATGTAAAATGATTACAGATTCGTCCAGAAATAGGATACGAAGCTATACCACGACTGACACAGTCATATCTGGATAGTATAAATGAATTATTTCACAAAGGCAAAGATGAACATTTAAACTCACCGTTGACAGAGAAATGTTTCGAAGATCCTGAATTTCATACAGATTGGCATATTTGTTCAGCTTGGGTAAGTAGGGCGATCTATGTAAATGCTTGTAATAAATATAGAATTGTATAGAGGTATATAATAGAGACACTGACAAAGAATATATTTAGAGAGAGTCCTTATCGGGGCTAGAGGGGTTAATTATACCTATCTCTATATATATATTTGTATGTGTATTTTTTTATTGCATAACCCGGTAAACGAGCAGACGGATCACCTGATGGCAAGCAGTCGGCGCCGCCCATGGACACCCGAAACACCAAGGCGTTACAAGTGCGTTATCGGCCTTTTGGGAATAGGGAGGGGGTAATTTGGCCTCCGGTAACCTCACTCACACGACGAAACACAACGCAAGCGTTGTTTCACGTCGTTTTCCTGTGAGGCCGTGGTATCACTCCGGTGGAGCCGGCCCATTCGTGCCGAAGCATGGCTCTCCCACACTTAGAATGTATTAGTATTAGGCAAAACTGACGCATAATAAATGCAGTTTTTACTAAAATATGCAAAACAATTATTCGGTCGAATCAGGAAGCGATTAGGTAAGTACCAAATAATGTATAATTACCTAATGTTTTAGGATGGATACCCTTCTATAATGGATATCGATCTAGTGATAGAAAAATTATTGGTTATAGACTATATAAAGCTCAAACCTGAGATTATGCATACTTATACTTCATCTCATCCGAAAGTAGCACCAATACAAGGATTTTCTACGATTCCCTATATCATTGACTTTGGTGTTGTTATCACTGGAAGTACGGTGAGATATTTCATCTATTGTTTCATATACATTGTCTATTATAAAATTTCTTAATTAAAAGTGACAAGTAATGAGATACTACAGTTGAGTTTATACTATGTCTCAAGAAGGGTTGACTCACTCTTCGCCAGTAGTTCCCACAAAATATAGGGAAAGTCTGTTTTTAAAAATAAGTAACTACCTTATTCACAGTAACAGGCTCACCCTCTATTCTAATAATTTTTCACTTACCACGGGAATTCATTTTAAGGTCAGTGTCCTTGCGACGCTCTTAGCAAGGTCTACGACTTACGTAGGCCGTGCTACGAACGGTTCTGAACTTCTACGTAAATTGTAGACCTCGCTGCGACATTTACAGCATAATATTGTTATCTACTAATTTCTTGAAAACATGGATGCATTTGTCGCTACCCTTGTTTTTTTCCTTTAAACGTTGTAGGAGCCGAGTAAGGGACTGCACATTTACAGAAATCAGGCATCAGGCTCTGATAAACCTTAATGACCCTAATAGTTTCAATGTTCCCAGGTGCAATGTATAGCTGACGTGATTAATTATGGGCCAATAGCCATCAAGTTATATATTACCAAAGGCACGGTAATTCCTCAGTGGCTTACACTAAAATTAGTTGGAAGATTGTTACCTGGTGAAACGGGAAAATTGGAAGTTACATTTGCCCCCACTTCTACTGATTTTGTCGAACTGGAAAATAACGTGGAAACATCATTTAACATTGAGGTTGTATTATTGGTGCTTCAGTTTCCTTTTTTATTTATTATGCCATAATGATAACATCATGCCGTAAATTGGAGAGAAGTGCAGTAATATGACACCCATGATGATATGACACAGGGGATCCAATTCCTATAATAGCCCACTGAATATAAAAATCCCTTACTTAATAGAAACACGACACATAAAAGTATATTAATTAAAAGAATAAAAAACATCGGTAAACTTATAATTTATTTTTATTATTTAGGTGGCTTATGGTGTGACAATTCCAATTCAAATGAAGGCTTTATGTGCTGTGCCTTACTTAGTATCGAACGTGAAAGCTATTAACTTCGGATCTGTGAGATGTGGTGATAAAATAATTTATTCAGTTCCTTTAAAAAATGTGTGAGTATTATTTTGTGTACACCTTTTTATTTTTTGAAAAACACTATCATAAAGAGTAGAGATCTACAGCAATCGATTTCCAGCTGTTTTTGAATGTTTGTTTATAGAGGTAGGCCAACATGTATTTGGTATGCGACTCTGAAATTGAAGACGGTTGGACCTCCTCCGATGATGGTGCTCAACAATTCGGGAAACTACAAGCCAGGAGCCGGAGGATGGCTTAGTGTTGCTTTCAAACCGACGATGGAGGTCAGTAGTACCAACTTAAATTTACTCTTGTTTGCATTGTACATTAGTTCGTAATAAGAAGGTAATTAGAATGATTAAGTACAGCACAGATGCCATAGAAAAACTTTTGGGTTTACTATCGGGTTGATCAAAATATAATTTAACTGGAATTTTTATTTTTTAAATCTACGATTAAAATAATAATTATGGTTTTTCATTGAACAGATGATGTACGAAGGCCACCTCATATTTAGATTTCACATGAACCCTCAAAAAATGACGATTCCAGTGACGGGGCAAGGAATTGTTCCACACGTGCATGTTATAGGGCCGAACGTAAATTTCTCGCCAACCCTGCCGTGGGCTGAAACCACTGACATATACTTCGGGCTAACGAATCCGTGTCCGTTCCCGATAGAACTGATAATGGCACATTCGGATGAGTAAATATCACGCATTATTTTAAATTATGTTGTACGACTTACAATAAAATTTTAAGTTGTACTTGAATATCGTATCACCTTTGTCATTTTACAAAGCATTTGTAGTGACAGAACTACATATACTAAATCGCGTCTTAAAATTGAGTGGTGTTTGAGTATTTGAACATTACTCACGTCACGTGACCGTTTGAGTTTGACGAGATAATTCGACTAGTTTCGAGCGCTACATAAAAACATACCTATTTAAAATTGATATTTAAAGTGTAATTATGTTGTTAGTTATTTTTGAGTATAACTTTTTACTTTTATATCGACATGATTATAGCACTGTCGTTACTTTTTAACAGAAAATGGAAAGAAGAAGATGATATTTATCAATTACTTTATAAATATTACGACAAACCAGAAGAGATGTTGGTTCCAGTGATAAAGCCAGGAGTGGGGTTACCACAAGAAGTTGTAACTTTTTATTATAAATTTCATGAAAGAATCAAGAGGTAGGTAGATCCACAAGACACAAACAATGTCACAAATTAGATTTCTACTTTTTAATTTTTTTTTTGTTTTGCAGAGCAAAAGAAGATGAATTAGCTCTTAGCAATAAAGTGTTAACATCCAAGGTTACACCGGCTGCAAAGTATGAATTTTGTTTTGAAATGGTTCATAATTTTAAAATAACTGAAATCCTAATTTTATATACGATATAATAATATTATGCAAAGCACATAAATATATTTCATTGTTTGTTTAATTATATATTTGTATTGAAAAGGTTTAGAAACAATTGGACTAATTTGAAAAATTCGTTGGATAATTTACTTTTCAGGGATTGAAAAAAAACACTATTATGGGCCAAAACACATAACGGCGTTGCGACGCCGCGCCGCTAGAATCGACAGTAGCGTCACTGCCGATTTAAGCGGCGCGGCGCCGCAGCGCAGCACTTGTTCCAGCATAGCAGAGTAATGTCTTCTTAATAACGAATAAGCAATAAGTTTTTAAGACGGTCCATGGCAGAGACACGTCTATCCACAATAAAAAATCACGACGAACTGGTTACCCTACCAGACGACAATAAAACGATCTTTTTCACGACGCCGCAACGCGGCAACGCAAAACTGCCGATTTTAGCGTTGCGGCAACGCAACGTGGTTATGTGTTTCGGCCCTAAATCCCGATATTCAGATTTTATTACCAGACACTGATTTTTTGTACAGAGTTGTCATTTGTTTAATGTAAATGTGAACACGTACGGAGTGGGTTTACCCAATCGTTCAGATGTTAAGCCAACTACCGTTCAGATAGTTACACAGGTACATAGATCAGTAATTTATTTAATACATTTATTTTATAGAAAACCAAAGAGTCCTAGAGAGAAGTTATCTCAGAAACAACACTCCGGTCCGCCCAAGGACATAGCTATATCGCCTATGAAGATGAAGATACGAACCGAAGCTGAAATAATAGCAGGTTTGATGTTAGATTGAATTTAAATATTTAATACTGATGAGCGTAAAATATGTCTTTTTTGTACATGTATTATATACATTGACTAACGTGTTTTTCATCACAGATGAAATAAAAGCGATGAAAGACAAACATGTGGACCCTTTAAGACAATGTTTACGTGTTTTTGACAACGACGATGTTTCGGAAACGGCTACTGGCCAATCGGAGAAACTATCTAAAGGAATTTTAATATTTTTTCACGGATCTCCTTGTGAAGGTACATATATTTGTATCATTGACTGCTCCTTATAAGGCCAATTATTATTGTGTCTTTATTATTAATATTAATTATTATGTTTCTAATTTTCTCTGTGTAGAAATGCAATGTCAAGAAATGGCTTACACTGTCGGGAAAAAGTTAGCCATACCAACAATAAATGTAGACCACTGCATAGTTCATGCTCTGTGTGAAACCGATATTCCGGCGAAAGAGCTAGTGGTTGCCGCTGTAGAAGAGAATTATGAAATGTTGAAAAGAAATACTAGGAGCGACACTGTTACCGATGCCGAACAAGGTGAAAGTAACCACATGACTATAGTTCCATTTTGTTCGTCTCCAGGATTTGCATTTTCCGGAGAGACATGTAAATATTTTGTACCAATTATGAATTAACGCGTATGGTTTGCAGACGAATTTGATGAATATAAAGACGAATTTGAAATTCTTTTCGACAAAATTCAGTTTCTAGCCAATCAAAAAAATGTACCTACCCCTCGCTCAAAACAGAGTGACAAGAAGAAAAAGAAGTCATCCATTAATTCCTCTTCGATAGCTTCTCATAATGCATTGGGAGCTATGGGATCAACGACCCTTTTTCAAATGGTATGAACGAATTTAGTTAAATGTATGAGTGCATATAACAGCATATTATCCTTTTAAAATTATTTTCCCCAGGATTTAGTGGAAGAACTTCTTATTGAATTATTTCGACAACCTCGCTATAATCGAGGTTTTGTGGTAGAGTCATTAACGAGCTTCGTTATGAAGAATCCTCCTTTAGTGATGATGACATTGATTAAATGTAAACGCAACATTCGGAACTTGCACCTAGTTTTATGCCAAGCAGATTTCTCTAAATGGGCGCAAACGTACGAAGAAAGCCAACGTGAAGCTGAAATCGTGGTGGATGAGTAAGTATCGATTATTTTAATAATAATGCTGGTTCATCTGCTTAATGCAGTTAAGTGCTCGTGAATATATTTATATAAATTCCAGTTATTAATTGAGTTAGAGTGACAACGATAAGTGTAATGTAAATTATTATTAAGTAGGTAAGTGTTATCATTTGCAGGACTCAGGTAAAGGTATATGATGAAACGGAAATAGAAGATATTGTAACATCATTTGAAGATATGGACGCAGAAGAGTATGAAAACTCATCTGCGGAATTAAAATCCTTGTACATATTGTGGGGCTTAGAGGAGAGGAGACGGAAATATTTTGAGAAGAAAGGGTAACTATCTTCAGTTCTATAGCTGATCTTTCAAATGTATTGATCAGCGCTACGCTTTCGGATGCACCGGTTGCAGTGTAATTGCTTTCGTTTCGCAACAACAAAAATGCTAGATGACTAATATTAGAATGGTAATGTCTGAAGTAGCACAAGCTACATTTATCTTATATTGTGTTTATGAAGAGGTATATTTTGATTAGAAATTGAAACAAAGTTAATAAATGTTGAGTAGTATTGATTACAGACCGCCAGGAGAAACTTTTCATAAGAAAGATAAATCAAAAGGTATGTACTATGGCATTTTATAAAAAGTATGAACAACAACAAAATAATAATTATTAAACTTTTATAACATAACAGAATCTTTTATCCCAGAAGAGGTAGGCAGAGGTGCGCATTACGGCACTAAATCCCACTGTACAATGTAACATCCACTTTTCACTATTTATGTTATGAGTCCCATGTAATAGGAGGTGAACCTTTTGCCATATACCTGGCACATTTCCAGACTCCGTGCAACTACTGAGAATTTCTTAAAAAAACCCAATAATACTCTGCCCGACCCGGGTACCGAACCCGAGACCCCTTGCCCAGCAGGCGCACTTGCGACCACTCGGCCAACGAGGCAGTCAACTTTTATATATTAACATTTTGTTTTAGTCTGCTAACTACATGCTGCATAAGTTGGTAAATTAATTTATCACATTCTAAAAGATTTGATTTGCTAAATTACTTATCTAAATGTTTATAGTATAACAAATATTTCATTTTAGTCAATATTTCACGTTTTAAGTACTTCGATTAAAAAAATAATGCGTAGGTATAAAATATTAATTTGTTTATAACAGAGTCGCGTGTTTCAGCTTCTGTGCATATAGATGCGACCGACACAAAGAAAAAAGTAAAAAAGGATGAGCCTAAAAGTACGTAATTTGTTTTTTATGGGATAAGCCGGTAAACGAGCAGACGAATTAACTGATAGTAAGCAATCGGCACCGCCCATGGACACCCGAAACAGCATGCAGAGCCCGGTTTACCAGTGCATTACAGGCCTTTTGGGCATTAGAAATTTGAGGGTTGTTGTGGATTCAAGGATTAGGGAGAGTGGGCCTCCGGTAACCTCACTCACACGACGAAACACAACGCAAGGATTGTTTCACGTCGGTTTTCCGTGAGACCGTGCTATCACTCCGGTCGAACCCGCCCATTCGTGCCGAAGCATGGCTATCAAACCATTATTTTATTAATTCAAATGGTAACAACAACGATTCTTTCGACCATCGTCGTTGAACTCCTGCCTCGTTCTGGTAGCGGTTCAATTTCGATAGGATAAATAAAATGTCTGATAATTTTGTCATTGTTGTCTTCTGTTTTGTTTATTTAAAATGGTGTAGATAAAGAAAAGCCAACGTAAAGTTCTATTCTAATACAGGTAAAACTACGCCACGCCAAACAACTGAATATTCGATGATGAATGCGAAATACAATGACTACAATAAACTGACATACGAGCAACTGATAAATATTGCAAATAATTGGATTATTGAGGAATGTGACGTAGGACAACCACTACTCTCCTTCAATGGTCAGGTAGTTGGAGCAGCTCAGAAGAAAACTAAGAAGAAGTCTGAAGTCCAATTACATAATCAGGTACATTAACATTATACATTGGATCATTTATTAACATGTTTAACGTCATAGGAAACTACTGTGGTGCACTATGGCGAAGAATTTGCCCTCAACAGTTTTCTGTGTACAGTCAAAGGCTTATTGGGGAAAAGCAGTTATTTTTCTGTTGCACATATTATGTATGCCTCTCCAACTCCATCCACCTCTTAGTGGCCATGGTTCTCAAAATGGAAATGCTGTAATAAAGCACGATTGTGTTTCGTTTTATGTCAATAGTCGAGATTAAGAGTCGAGTACGAGTCGTAAGAAATTTATTTAAAAGAAGAACACAATACATTTCGAACCTAGTCATTTTGGGCGTGACGTCATTGACATTTCATTTGTTCCATATTTTACCTAATAACAATTAAAATGTTTTTATAATAATTACAGTTATCTGAAGCCAATCTTGCGAATAGAGGCTTTCCAATTACATTCATAATGTGTCCTTGTTTACAATACAAAGAAGCTTTGAAGAACATGTTCGCAAGAAATATTATGAAATCGGAATCTTCAAAAACAGATCATGATATTCTTAAATGTTCTGAGATTAGAAAAGAGTTTACTGTTTTGCTGCCTAAGACTTTTCCTTCGATACATCATGAGCCTCCATTGAAATGGTGGTATTTAGATGAGTTGCCGGTAAGAAACTTTGATAAATCTACACTCGTTGAAGTATTAAAAATAACTACCGCTTATTTCTCTTCTGTATTTTGAATATACATCAGGTAGAGTTTTGACCATTAGTACTGTGAAAGTGAAAGTAAATTAAGATTAAAATCAGACTCAGGAGACAGGGAATCAGGATCGAAAAAAGTAAAAAAATACCAAAGTAATACTTTAAATCGTTTTACAATCTGTTTCCATTATTGTTTAATTCCAGGTAAAGAAATGTGAATGCAATCAATTAACGGATCTAAACTTGTTGGATGACACAAATCAAGACAATGTTTTAAATATCCTCTCGAAATGGCATTGCACTTGCGGCAAAAAGGTGACAGACATCATACATACCTAGTTATTATTTCTTGTTCTGAGTTTAAAGATGTTTCAAATTAAAGAATAATACCTATTGGTTTTTCCAGCTGTACTCATCACAAACTTCCACAAGTGAAATCCCATCACTCTCAGTGGACAAGATTCTTCATGAGTTTAGCGAGGAAGCTTCAGAGCCACAACCCTTGCCGTTACGGCGTGTAAAAACTATTGCTGGTACGTAAAAAATAACAACCCTAGAATAACATTAGGTGAAATAGATACATCAAAATTAAATAGTGATAAATTAGATGCATATGATACGTAGAAAGTTTATTCTTTCGTTGTTTGCATGTGACACTATATTTTCTATTTATTGTAAGTATAGATTATTGTACCTTTTTTAAGGGGGGAAAATCATCGAATTTCTTCTCCCGCCTGGGTGAGGCAGGAGGGAGTGTCAGACTCTTACCCTTACTTAGACTTAGAACCACCCCATCCCGGCCCATCTGTGGCTGATCTGATGGCTCTTTGAGGCACGCGTGGAACGCGACGCGCCGTACGCTCGGGTCTGGTTCTCTGGTCGGATGGCGAGCTACCCATGCTTGCCATGATCAGGCCCGTGCTTACGGTGGCCGGAGATTGTCCCACGATCCATGACGCCTGGAATGTCCTTCGCGGCGGCTGGTTTGTGAGGAGGCAGCACTTTACTGCCTTACGGGCTCCACCTCCTTCATAGCTAGCATGACTGCTTCGCAAAAGGAGGAGCGGCATCCCAGTCCTCCTCGCTCCGCATCATAGCCCAGTGCCCAGACAAGGGTCGGACGCGAGAGGTCGCAGCCCTGCGTGTGCTGAGCACCGCAGTGCCCTCAGGGCATGCCCCTACCGAATGTTCCACCGTGTCAGGGCAGTCCTCGCAGTGATGACACCCGGGCGTTTCCTCCCGCCCTATAAGACACAGGTACCTCCCGAAGCTCCCTATGTCCCGTGAGGACCTGCGTCTGGCGGTAAAGAGGGGACTTACCGCTGCAATGGCAGTGAGCCCAGGTCTGAGTTATATTATTGTACCCTAACTTTATGTTTAGCTTAGCTTATGCGATACCCTTGTTTTAGCGCCTGCATCTCGTTTAATACTGCAGCCAGGTGATCTGGTGCGTTGCAAATACTCCTTCAGTCCTCAAGAGGAAGGCAACTATAGTGTTAAGCGGTATGTTGAAGTCAGTGGGTGGCCGAAATCAAGAGTTGACATTAATGTTAATGGCATCTGTGATTTGCCAAGGTAACGTAACGTTATAATATACATCGTTGAAATCCGGTAAAGTACGTTTCTAAAAATCAGCATTTTGTTAGGTAATAGGACATTCATAACATTAGAGTTATGTTACAGATTGGATAGTCGTCCTAAGAAAATGTTCGCTAATTTTGTGAGGAGAACACAAGAAGACCACATCTACAAAATAACGTACTTAGATGATCTCAAAGTATTTGAGTTTGGGCCATTGTTTATTGGAAATAATAGGTACGATCAAATTGTACAAGATTTTGCTATAAATTATTTTTAACGTGTCTTTACTCCGGTTTCGTTGACCTGGCAGAAATACTCGGCTGATATGAATTATCTTTCGAACACATTGCATTTGTGATGCGCTGAATGTGTTTTACAGAATTTATCAAGAAGACTACATCATCAACTTGAAAAATTCATCCTTAATGACTGCAGATATTGTTATCGAGTTTCTAGACGAGACCACAGTATTTAATATTGACAAGACGACCATGAAATTGGAAGTAAGTAAAGAAAATAATCGTGCTTGTACTTCTTAAATAAACACGACTACAGAATGTGTCGTGTGGAAGATGAATAAATTAGGAAACAGTTTCTTCTGATATATTTAGTGTTTGCACTAGTATATTTTTTGCAGATTAATCACATTTCTTCCTTATCTTAGCCTGGCGGTCGAGGCAAATTAAAAATTTCCGCAGCCCCTTCTGAAGTGGGTCTACATAAAACCGTGCTACTATTATGTGTGAACGACAACCCCGAAATAGTGATGGTGAACATATCTTGTAGCGGAGTGTGGCCTATTGTTGAAATACTACCGCTGTCTAAGGTTATAGGTAAGGTTTAATTTGTCTATATGTATAATTATTGGTATCAAATTTTTGCGCCTACGGCTGTATGTAAAGCTTTCCAAAAGCACGCTATTTAGTCAGTTATTCGCGCCCAACTTAAACCACCAAATACACGAATATCGTCTAACTAACTAAAGAGCTATGTTAAAAATTTTTGTTTCATTAAGATTTCGTGATTTCACGTCTTTTAGAGCATATTTTGTGACCGTTACCTTTGGATTCATTTACTCCTTAAAAAAGGGTTATTAGGAATTCTTATTTATTTTGAGTATTTGTTCAGACTATGGAAGACTTCTACTCTATCGTCGAGAAGATGACAGGTTTATTGTAAAGAATGACTCAGTTTTACCAATAATGTGGAAGATACGTAATGCCCAGGAGTTTGTTGAAGATTTCATAATAGCGCAGACGTCGGGTATCGTGCCGAGAAGTGATAATCAAGTTGTTCCCGTCACATACATTGCATGTCGAGTTGGTGTTATCACTTCGAAAATCCTTACGATCGATGTAAGTTTGATCTTTAGACAAAAATGTTACGTACCTATATTGTTTTAGTATTTCTGAATTAATATCTATATATAGTTTTGTGGATCTTCTATATTAATAAAACTACTAGCGCCAAGTTTACCTTACACGGTATTTATTTATTTTTTATTTTAAAAGAAGCCTACGTATCACTGTAAAAATTAACCTCATCCATTATTCATAAATCATACAACTTTACAGATTTACGACTCACTGGGCCGCGGGGACCCTATTCTGATGGACAACCTGTCATTGTCCGCGGAGTGTTACGATGTAATGGTTGAATGTGCGCACGAAAATCCAAGCGAGAACTATCTCAACTACGGCAACGTCAAAGTTAACTCTACGGTCGTTAGAGAAATGTATTTGCTGAACCGAGGCAAATACAATATTTATTACAAGTTAGTTCAAACGTTATTTCAAATTTTTCTAATCATTCACATTTCGATACTGGTACAAAATTATGAAGGGTAAATTAATTTTCTTCCCAGTTTTTCGTGTTTATTAGGAAAATTTTATGAATAAATGGTCCAGTCTCAAATAATATTAAATGGTATGTAAATACGAATGTAACTTTTTTCTATTTTTATCAAATAGACTAAAGAAGGTAAAGGATTTCCCTGAGCCGTCGCTGTTGCGGTCTTTCGAAGCTATACCTGAGTGCGGCGTAGTCCCGGCCACTCTGAAGCTGGTAGCTATCGAGTTTGAGTGCACACCTACCACCTCCATCAACCTGGTGAACGTACCAGCTTATATTTGCTCCCTACTAGACGGCAGCAAGGAACAAGTCGTTGTGGCCAAGTTCCCAGTTTGTGTCAGCATCGCTTCATTTTATAATACGTAAGTTTCATTTTTTTATAGTTTTATTGCTGTATCTCTAGCTACGAATTATAATTTCTGCGAGTTTTTACCTGCAACCCTTGTTTTTTGTACCTTCGACAGCTTAAAAGTTTAAGGTATTTGTCATTAGATTTAAAGTCTATTTAGTCAACAGTGAATTAGTATTCTGATTCCAAAACACGAAAAGAGTTTAAAAAAATCTATAATTTCAAGGTTCACATTGTTCCCGCTGGGCGAGTTGAACTTCCATATAATTCCGGTGGGAACAGGAATAACGAGAGACGTTATTTTAAACAATACAAGCAAATGCCCCGTCACTTACGAGATTGTTCTACCGCCTACATATCAAATGGACGCTGTTCTAACAGCGCCGCCGCCGTCGAAAGGAAAGGATACACGGTATGTTGTAACTTGTTTTTATTTGTTATAGAAAAGAAAAATTATTAGTACGATATAGTATACTATCTCGATCCGAATTGTCAATCTATTTTTACATTGAAAGCTCAAAATATGGTTAAAATCACTATTAGTTAACATTTCTTCGTAAATAACTATAGATATTTAACTTATTTTCTAGAATAAGAAACCCTCCATTAAAATGTGGAAATTTCGTGATAATGAACGAAGACAACCTGCTTCCTCCTGGCACCAGTCGTACGATACAGATACAATTCTTCGCGACAGCAGCGCGAAAGTTTGAAGAGACTATTAGCTTTATTATTAGCGACACGTGTCCTGCCGAGGCCAACGGAGTGCCGCTTCGACTGGTCGGCACAGGAGCCATGCCAACTTTGGATCTTTGGAATTTAGAGACTACATTTAGAGAACATTTGATTGTCAAGAATCTGTCCGAATATAAAGTACCAGAGGTAATACTTAATAGATCCTCATACCGTTGTGTAGTGTTTCACAATGCTGACTGCGTCTTGCTAATATTTCGTTGTCCACAGTCAGCACCACATTGTGTGTTCGTGGAAAACTCTGTGACGTTACATTTCTTCTGCGTTACGGTCAATTCAAGTCACACGGGTGCAATAGATCTGTATAACAATGGGCTTGTTGCTTGTGCGCTCAACATGAGGCTCCACCATCAAACTAATTCTAACCCAACCATATTCTCTTTGGATAAGTTCGAGACACATATCGAACCGTTACTGCATACAAATCTTGGGATCATTTTCTCTCCTAAATCCTTGCAGGTACGGAAGCACTTAGATTAAAAGATAATAGTATAAAATATGTTTGAGGATGCTAAATACCAAGTTCCTAAATACAATTTCAGGAATATAGAGCGGTCTTGGAAATAAAGCTTAAATTGTTAGACAATCAAGAACAGTCATTTAAAATATGTCTGGTTGGAGAAGGAGTTATTCCTAGGATACAATTGTTATCACCTCGGCTGAGATTCCAAAGGACAGCTGTGCTACCATTTTCAGTGACTTGTTTGGGTTCCATCAGCAGCAAACCTATTTCCTTTAGAAATATATCTTCGGTAAATAGTGTAACTGTTTTGGAAGTGTTACAGTCACTGGATGAAGTTAGACCCATTTTTTGGTTGGCTGCAGCGCCGGAGAGCGAACTCATGGTCACATCTGGAGTTAAAGGTAATTTGTATTTCAATACAATAACTTTGAAATTGTTATGCCTCGGTATACTATGTGCACCAACGTTTAGTGTATTTACTCTCAAGATTACGGTTCGACTTTCTCACACACACAAAAATTTGAAAAGGATTTGTTAAAAACATTACACATTTTATTACTTGATACATACGACTTAAAATTAATAATAGCTACTTACTTTATTTTTTCAGAAGAGATAAATTTGCGAATGAAAGTATTGTTGCGACCAGCTCAGAAAACAACATTGAATGCTTATTTCAATCCGATAACAAAAGGAAAAACTAGTTGTGAAATAAGAATTACCATTGAAGAAAACCCTTATGAATATTTTATGGTAATTGAAACGTAAATGCCATTTACACACGTTTCCACATTGTAACGTTTAAAATGTTAACTAATAATAAACACTAAGTTCTCGTAAAAAATCGTAAATATAAGCGACATATCCGATCAAATCAAAATTAAAGGTGGGAATGAGCTAATAATGTAAGGCTTTCATACCGAGATTAAGACTCGAAAAATTCTTGGTTTTCTTGGCTGAGTCTTGAAACATCATTTCGAGGGGTAACGGACTATTTGGTTTAAGCGACATTTTGGGCGATATTGAGTTATTATATATTTTCGACGGAGAAAAATTCGCTGATTCCGAATATATATATATAACTCAATATCGACCAAAATGTCGCTTAAACCAAATAGCCCGTTACCCCTCGATTTCATATCTCAGGACTTTAAAATTTAATGAGAAAGATCTATTTAGTTCTCACCATTCTTAGTTATTAAAGACTAGCTTTTACCCGCGGCTTCGCTCGCGTCACAAAAGGATAAAAAGTAGCCATGTGACATATACCAATACACACAGCGCCATCTATACCAATACTTTTATTTTCCTTCGGGAATATCAAATTTTTCCGGGATAAAAAGTACCCCATTATTTAATCCAGACTTCTATCTTTACGTCTGCAAAAATTCAAAGCAATCGGTTTAGTAGTTACGGCGTGAAAACAGAACAAACAAAAAACAAACAAACTCACTTTCCAATTTATAATATTATATTAGTAAGGATTATGAAGGTAAGGAAATGATTTTTTGGGTTTAGGTGAGGTGTGAAGGTGAGTCGTTTATGGAGGATGTCATACTCATGGGTCTGGAAATGCTTTCCATGGATATGGACCTCGATACTTATAAGATGTCTGTGGACGAGTAAGATTTTTGCAAATATTTAAAACAGATAAATATAGTACCTATATACTTTTATTTAGTTCAAATCAAAATCAAAAAAAAAATCAAAAAATGTTTATTTCGTTATTACACGTTAATACAAAGTTACACAGTTGGTGGCGTCTCCTTTTAAGTATATAATTGCCTGTACCAGGAGGCGCCGGAAGTTAGTTTCAACTGTAAATACACAGATGCATATTTATTGATTTTAAAATTTGATGCTTGTATAAAAAAACAATAATTAAATGTAATTAGTTTAATAATTAAGCCTCCTTAGTTTAGTGGTTACATGATTACCAATTAAGAAGCCTCGGAGTCGATTTTAAGATCAAAATGTTTATAGAATTTATTAATATTCTCAGAAGTTAAATAGAGTTTGTACCTCTAATTATGTACAATTCACATACATTAGATTCGCTTCATATTATGTTTGGTTACATGAAGATAATTGACAAAAGTGGGTGTTACAACATTTAATTCGCGTTTCTCAACCTACACAGTACCTACAGTGCAGTTTAGTATAATAGTAAAAGACGTTATGTATAAAAGATTTTTTCCAGGACCATGTCAACTATGTCTACTATGGAAAAGAAAAGTAAAACAGCCAGTTCAATTGAAAAGAAAAAGTCGAGGACCGCGCACCCTGTAGAGTCTAAAAGGTCGAAACGAATATCATCTGCTTCAATAAGGCTGCCCCCGTATACGGAACCTTCCCTTCTGAAATACGTCTTAGAATTCGGTAAAGCTAAAATTTTATTTATAATTCGTATCGTATTTGGTTTGTTGTCAAACGGTAAAGAAAAAATAAAGCGGTTTAATTCCGCGACGGGTTTGATTTGAAACCACAACTTACTTTAGCACATACAGTTTGTCGTTCCGGTCATATGTGTTGTTCATATGTTCCGGCCACCGGTGACCACAACCTATTGTTCTTTAATTGTGTCTATAATGACGGTACTCGACGAGTTAATAGTGCTTAAATATTCCGCTCACATCAACATTGCCTAGGAATATTTCATTATTACCTTATTTTATGAAATGTAAAAATTTTGTTTGTAATGTTGTAATGTTTTAAAATGTTGTAAAAGTTTATATTATGGTTTATACTTGCAATACATAAAAAGAGATGCAGCAAAGATTTCTAATTAATTTTTAGTGATTTTATTTTTGGATTTAATTTTTACTCCGTATTTCTCTACCTGTAATTACCATACTTCGTGCAAATAAACGTTCTTATTCTTATTCTTATTCTTATTCTCTAATACTTTTCTCTTCCCTTGTCAAATGTCTAAGTGCCATAACAATAAATGTAAAACACGTTGAAATTAGGATAGAAAATGTGTAATCGCTTTAAATTTTTCAAAAATTAACTATTTTACTCTAACTTGAACTAACTTTTCGACCGCCAAATTCGAACATTTGATATCGCTATTCTTTTGTTTCAAATAGAGATTTTTTTTATTTTTTTAAATTTCGAAAGAAGTGGTGGAGATGAAAACTATTTTAAATATAACCATTTTTATACATACAGTAAATAGTGAAGTCTTTCGTGTAATATCCCCAGACAATTTTGATGTGGTCCGTATTTTAGTATGCCTCTTTACCATCTGGTACCTAGCTAGCAGGAATGTTTGCCTTCAAAGTATACCCTAACACTACTCTGTACGATACATTTTGTCGCTCAGAAAATAAATGGAGACCGCCTGGCGGTCCAATGTATTATAATTAAGTTCTGTGATGTTTTCGTTTACACTTTTGACTGAAAAAAATATAATAGGATGTTTGTGTTACAGGTGGTTGTGAGTTGTGTTCCTTACAAAAGAGGTCGGTGGTAATGGTAAACAATTCAGAAAAAGTGTACAAGTTCTCCTGGTCAGAAGTGGAATGTATTATCACAAAGCCATCCATCGGCTACATCTCCCCAGGAGAAGAGAAAGACCTGGAAATTAATTTCTTCGCTGCACAACCTGTTTCAATACATAAGGTTTGATTCTTTATTTTATAGAAAAAAAAATATATATTTTATTTAAGTAACGTACAAATTGAATTAAGAACAACCAACAACACTATGCGCTTATTATCTTATCTTGTATTATAATATAATATATTTATTCTATTATATAAAGGTGAAGACTTTGTCGGTTTGTTTGAACGCGCAAATCTACAGAACTACTGGTCTGATTGGAATAATTCTTGATTTATTGGATAGTGCATTTATCCAGGAAGAGTATTACAGGCTATAAAACTTCACACTACGATTAATAGGAGCCGAGCAGAGCGGGTGAAACTGCGCTGAAGTAGCTAGTTGTTAATATAATTCCAATAGCATTCCAACTAAGAAAATGTTGCGAAATACATTGAAATAAAAGAAACCGTATGTTGCTTGCAGGAGAGTTTAACTTGCATCTTAACAGCAATTAGCGATGATTGTCTGACATTGGATATGAAGGGTGCAACGTGGGACAATCGCCAGATGATCACACGCTTCGATCATAACACGTAAGTCGGTTAATAATCACAACAAAATTTGAAGGAACGTCCCAGAAGACTGGTAGCGTTGCCATTTTGTCTGGTAATGCTCAATTTAGCACTCTTAACAAAAGAGTAGTGGAAGAATATGACGGCTGTAATCAGTTAAGACTATTCTTTAAAATTTCAATTCGAACTCTCGAGGTGAGCTTAATCGTATTCTCGCCCGTCATTGGTCGGGATCATTCTCATAACCAATGACATGGCAGACCGCGATCGAGTTCATTTCGATCTTTTGAATTAAAAGATACCGTACAGCCTAGCTGATTGGTAAATTAATCTGTATTCAGTGGCTATTTAGGTAGGTAGTGAAACTGGTTAATATAATAACAAAGAATGCAAGAACGTAACTTCATCTATCACTGTCAATGACGTGCGACGAGAATGCTTGCCAGATAAGTGTCTTAACAAGAGATGCGCGTATTAAATTGGAGACGAAACATTTGTACTAGCACAATAGTACCTATATAAACAACGTGCAATATTAATTACAAGCAGTTGTTGCCTCCTTGACATTTTCTCATCCTTCATCTGTGAAATCTAAACCAGTAAATATTACCCCCATGAAGAAATTTGCTTATTATTCTTTTACATAATATATTACACTCTTTTTAAGTCTCTTTGGTAACCAGTGGGGTAGCGTGCTTGGCGGGGCTCCGTATACAATTTTGTTTGGGGGCCCTTATGAAGGGTAAAGATTCCTTACAAGAGAAAAAAATATGCATAAAATACTAATAATTTGTATGAAAATCAGAAGACTCCTTCTACCTAAATTATTAGACTATACTTTTGCCAACCTATAAACGCGTGCTTTACGCAGGTTACATATCGTTTATTTTGACTTTTGTGATTATTACTGAAATAAAATAACAATTGAGATTCCTGACGCAGGTTGGGGGCCTGGGTCCGGGGGTCCTGTATAATTGATACGGTAGATACGCCCGCCGCTAGCAACGCTCCTGTTGGTAACTTATAACACTTGTGGATTCGTCAGACATTTAAATGTTTAGCTAACAAATGTGCAAAGGGGCAAAAGTTATTTACTTAATCATAATTATGATGTAAAGCGTTAAAGTATAGAAGCTCATTCCGAATTCAGAATTATTAGAAGAAAATGTATTGTGAGATTTGAACCATACCAATTTTGAACGTTATTTTCCAGGGATCTAAGTTTGAATCAGAGACGAGAATCTCACATTGGTGAACTAGTGATTCCACCAGCAGATCATGTTATGGGATCTATAACTATGGTGATAGTATATTCAGCACAAACCGAGTATACTAAATATACGACTAACTTACCTGAACATAAAACATTGCTAGACACATTCATATATCAGGTAATCGTTCTTCTATTAAATAGATGATAAGACTTAAGGAAAGTGAGTTGACTACCTTCGTAACTTTATTTTCCTAATTAAATCTTTATAAGGGAAGCTTTTGTCCACGTATTGGCAATTTATTTTATTTGTCATAGCTTAAGAATAAATTAGAAAAGCCTGACGTGGTTTATAAGTACCTAAATATTATGTTTTTACGTTATTTCATTTTTTTAGACAAGGAACTTCGAGTTTAAGGTGGAAAATGTTGGTCAAGTGCCAATGAAGATAGTGTGGAGTTTTCAAATAGACGACGAATTTCCAGCACGAGTTGACAAACAAGAAATAAGAAATTCACAGGTACCTATTAGACTTTTCGAACGAAGCGCAATTCACTTAAAATGATTTTAATGATTCATCTTTCTCTTCCTGATCTTATCCCAACTATATTCGAAGTGTTGTGGTGCAAAATGATCCCGTACATTTCATTCTTCGAAATAAAACGTTAACTATCTGATTAATTAATTAAATAATTATGATTGTTAGACATATTCGGAAGGTATTGTTGATGAAGACGGTAATATTGTGAACCTTGGCTATTCGTCGACCAGCAACGAGCCGATGTCAGTAATGCCAATACCTGAACAAACACAACCTGAAAATGGTAAAGTCACTCTCTCTGTATGTGAACTAATTACTGATTATATATAACTTTTATATACCTAATTGAGTTCTATACCTTAACTCGTCGAGTACCGGTTTTGTAGACACAATTATAGAATTCTATAATTGTGTCTACAAAACCGGTACTCGACGAGTTAAATGTTGCATCTATCAAATTCTGATGAACATAGTTATTAACGGGTTTGTTATTTTTGTACAACGGTGTGGCTTGTCAAGTCGGGCACCGTCCAATAGTATAAAGGGCTTTTCAATAAGACTGTAGAAAGGAGGTACTAATAACACAATTGCAGTGAACTGAACGATAGCGAAATAGTATGTTACATTTAAGTAAAAAGATTTCGAATTAATTGTATTTTTCTACCCTCAGATCCAAGTAACGTGACGCTGTTCAGTAACAGTGTGGGTCGAGAAAGTGTCGACACCTGGTTCGAGGTGGACCTGCCGTTCTCCATAGATCCAGTCAAGGATTGCTTGAAACCAGGACAATCTACAATCTTCAATGTGACGTTTGCACCAGTGGATGCATTCGATTTTAAAGTCCGTCTCAAAAGTACTATAGGTAATGAAAATCTACACTATATTCTTCATATACTTAGAATATAAAATGATTCATGATTATATTACATGTACAATGTCAATATCATAACCTATATTAGAAACATAAAAGTCACTAGAAAAGAAATATATTGTGATACGCAACTTTTGATCTATTCGTGGGTTTTAAAGGCAATGAGAATATAAGGCACTAAATACTTACAAACCACCTTTTTATTCAGATAATCTCGATCCTTACGATCAGAACATATCTTGCAAGCTAACAGCTCGGTCAGTGATCCCATACGTTCACTTGGACATCGAGGAGAGTGACTATGTGACGTCAGGCAGGAGGAAGATCACGGGAGTCGCTTTACCTCCTCATCTTACTGTACTGGAGTTCAATGTCTTGGGATCGGGATGTTACAAAAAGTATCTATTTTTACGTGTTTTTAATTATTTGGTTGCAATCTTTTTGTTTGATGCTTGGCTCGGTAACATTTATTGCGTACTCTTGTTACGATGTGCAATAAGATACATATAAATATGAGCTGTAAAATAGATAGCTAGCCTTGAATAGATTTTCTGATTTAAGAATTTATTTCTCATAAAAAGAACAATTCACTTAAGATATGAGAAACATGATGACTTAAAATTTAAAATGGAAGCGTTTTACCTACCAATAAAACGCATATTAATTTACTTACCTTATTCGAAGCTTATTTAATTGAGATAGGCCTTCCGCTTCCCTCCTTCCGCTTTTCCTGTATGTCTATCTCTTTCTACTACGTCACTTCCATTTGGCAGTGGTGGGGAGGCTTGCTAAGAGAGACTCGCCATTTTTATTTCATTGAGTCTCATTACCAGGCAGAGCTTGACTATAAGCTTCGAATAAGGTAAGTAAATTAATATGCGTTTTATTGGTAGGTAAAACGCTTCCATTAATTTGACTTGACCGTTATTCGAAGCTTATTTAATTGAGACGTGTTTGTTATCGCCTGGTGGAAGTGACAGACGCCAATGTGAGGTAGTATGACTGCGTTGACCGCAGTCGTACTACCTGGTATGATGTGGTAAAATCACAGAATAGAAAAACTAAGAAAAATAGCAAATATCTAAAAACATATACATGTTTTGATGAAAGGTATTGAATAGAAAACCTGTTATTTTTAATTTTTTCAATAATAATTGTATTTGATCTGAACAAAAACAGATGTTATATATTTCTGAGGTATTTTATTGCCTCGTTTCTAATTTTCTAATCGTCTGTATTGAATAAAAAGGTGACATACAAAGGCACACACATCTTAGAAAGGATCGCCTCAAAAGGATAACTATCCACTAAATTTTTTCAGATCACAGCTGATCTGAAACCCTCAGGATATCTTGGGGGATTACTGATATCTTAATATCGGTTACCACCAAGAAGGAACTTTATCCTGACCGCAATTAGATTTTTCTATGTCGGTTTAAGAAATTTGCATTATTTTCAAAATTGACACATAACATCACAGCTTACGCCATTAAGTTATGCCTCTTATGGTATGCTTAGTCCATTGGACTGGATCTGAGCTTTAGAAATTTGGTATACAGGCTGGGTATGGGCCGACTTCGGTGATATATCCCGATTAAATGCTCCCATGGTAGAAATACACGGGCAAAGTCGTGCGTGAAAGCTAATTTATTATTATCCATTTAATCAACAGAATCAGTTTTTGATCTAAAAGCCGACCGAAAAACTAGTACGTCTACGTCATTATGATTATGGTAATTATTAGTATCAATATCGAGGAAAGTTAGGTCATGGAATCTTTTCCTGGAGTATAGGAGAAATGGAACAGCTGTTTGTCTCTGCACTTGAAAGACTATTAATAAGTTTACTGTCTAAGAATCTAGCTAGATCGTTTATGACCCAAACAGGGGGATTGACATGATCAATCACCATTTACAACATGTTTTACACAGTCAGTTAATCTCAAATATAAGTACCTAACTGATGTGTTAGTTCATAAGTTAAATTAATGTTACTGATTGTATAGTTTTTAACAATACATGCTAAACGACATATGGTTCTGGTTAACAAAGGACAGCAACCACAGATTTTTGTGACAAATTTTAATTGTACGACAAATTATTGATTCAATAGAGATCCGATATAGATAAAAATGTAGTCAAAAGTCTTGCTATAGGAGCTGAGGGTC